TACCTGGGAGTGAGGCTGTTGAGTCAGCTTGGCCTCGCAGGTCGTGATGAATGAGCAGATCAAAGCAGGGCCAGACTGGGAACGTCAGTGTTAGGTCACATTCACTCCATTAACAACAGACCACTTAGACTGTAAGCATTTTGTTGATATATTTTTTTCTCTTTACGGTTGATGCCAGTAACATATCTTTTACTTTTAGTTTAAAAGAAAACATCGAAAATAGTAAAAAACAGTGTCTTCAATTAGTCAATTGTGCATCCATAATTAAGGCATGGAATAAATATGAATAAAGATATATATGTATCATTTTTTTGCACTTTGGGTGTTTTTTTTATCATCATGAAGCTCTTTGGTGTATTCTAGAAAGCATTGGTTTAGTGAGTGCTTGTTAACCCTGCAATGAGGGAAACTCTGGGTTTTCTGTTCCAGAAAGAGAGGTTATTTAAACTGTGGATCAGTTACCATGATAACTGAGCATGTGAACCCAGACTCTTAAACAAACCCAGAGTTTCTCTGTATCTCTCCCTCCTGCTGAGCCTGAAGAATCTGTCCGACATGGGACTTCCTTTTCTTTGTTAACCTGATCGATGTTGAAGCCAAATTAGTTCATTCAATTAATTAATTCATTCTCATAGCCTTATGTTGGGAATGGATTTTGAGCCTGATTAGATGTGGTATCATTCCATGATGACCACCTAATTGAATATTTCTGTTTTCGTCACACTCTATCATTTCTCTCTGTCACATTATCTGGCCTTATATGCTCCAAGATCAGAAATAATGCTTTGTGTTGCTCTTTGTTTTAGTAGCACTTTTTTAAATGAGAGTATTTTTTTTTCACACCTAATTTTCTGACATTCAAATATGGTCGCACTAACAAGCCAGAGATACAAAAACCTTAAATTCCCTGTTTACACCTCTAGTAGCACTTTTTTGATGAGAGTCTATTTTTCGTCTGGCTTGATGCGATACACAGTCCTACCAATGGCGTCACACTATTCCACTGATCTATAGGTGGTGGTCCAACAAAGGCCAGAAAGAAGAGGGCAAGCTTGTAAATATGGATGTAAATTATTAAATGCTGGATTTAAAAACACTTAAAAATTGGCTTTGCAAATGTTTTATGCCTTTGACATTTGTTAGACCTCAATGATCCAGTAAATTTCAGCTCACTCTCAAGCTAATGGTTTTACTCCTGATTTATATGCAGTGGCTTTGGACTAATAGTGCACCTTTTGGTTCAGAAACCCATTTCAGTTAATGAAAGTCTGATGTGTAAGCACAGACTTCTCTGTCTCTTAGGTCAAGGATGCTGAGAAAAAAAAATCACAAAAAGATAAATCATGACCCTACCACTTCTTTTCAACAAGAAATAGCCTCTTATCTTGAAGATGCTAAAAAGAGGCTGGATTTCTGACTTTCTGAATCAGAATTGGACTTCCAATATTGCAAGCATCCTATAACCTATAATATACAATTTTCCAAAAGTACATAAATCACTCTCTGACCTTCGGGCCATCCCACTGTAGCACAGACAAGCCTATATAAAGAACTTGACTGATTTCATTGACAATATTTGCCAGATGTTGTCCTAACTCTTGACTCCATGATCCTTTATGATTTTGTTGCTCTGTTGACCAGTTTCAACAATAATCTATAATTTACATCAAACAATGAAAAAGTGAGTTTCTTAGGCATGTGGGTCATGAAAAAAAAGGTTGAATCATTTCAGCACTTTACCGGAAGGACACTGACACAAACACCATGTTGCTGGCTGCAAGTATTCATCCGAGTCCCCCCAAAAATGGCTCTCTCTATTAATCAGTTTCTTCAACTGAGAAGGATTTGTTCTTCCATGGAGGGCTTAATGGAGTAGACATGAAAATGTGAATACATTTGCACAGTGATTTATCAAGCTTATGAGTTGGTCCTCAGAAGTTGTCCACCATTAATGACACGCTCTGTCAAAAAGAGTGAAAAAAAACAAAAGAAATTCTAGTATATCACTCTGTCCACTTTACTGCAGTAGATCTGGCATATCTCAAAGTCTGACCCACCACTATTTGTAAGGAAAAGAGGGAAAACATGAGGCATCACCTGGTTCATGCAAATTATGACAACAATAAGAAATCCAGTCAAGTAACCTCAAGTCACCTTTGCATCCCCTTGGGCAGTTGGGCACAGTGCAATAACATGAAAACTAATAATTTCTCCCATTCCCTCATGTACCTGCAGGTAGAACATTTCACATGAACAGCTTTATCACTTGTGCATCCACACATTATCTATATGACATGCTGTCACTGTGGACTTGCATATGTTGGGAAGACAACCAGAAAACTTAAGGTTCAGTGAGCACAAACGCACAACATGCAGAATTTATCAGAATGAACCTGTAACTGTGCATTTCAGTGGTGGTCACCATGGCATCTCTTCATTACATTTCTGTAGCTGTTGAACAGGTCACGTTACCACCTAGGGGTGGTGACTATGACCAACTACCCAAAGCCTTACTGGATTCATACTCTTCAAATATTGGCTCCTAAAGGGCTGAATGATGAATTGCTGAGTATTTTCCTGTGATCCCATATAATGAGTTTTTCTAGATCGCTGTATGTCCTTTTTACTTCAGACTAATCTGAAGTGTTGTTCCTGTCCAGACAGTATATGTACATTCATGTCTATCAGGTTCGTTTACCGATGTGACCTGTTGATTGTGTTTATTTACACATTTATTTATACATGTATATTTATGTATATGTATGCATTGATGCTGCATTATTTTTTTCATGTTAATGTGGAGGATTTTCATTAAATTGATTACTGGGGGTGACTTTTCTATATGTTATGTTAGATTCATCCACAAATGTGCATGTTTTGATTGCTACTGGAGCCTGGATGATCTATTTTATAGGGACCTACTTAATTTAATGGATGCAGCCTTGATAGGGTAGAAGTAAATGCTGTTGGTTGGGTGGTTACTTAAAATATATATACACTGATGTAGTGTCTGGCCATTTTTGTGAGATGTAAATGCAGGTCTACAGGCACATCTACAATGTATGCTTTTGAGAAGGCAGTTTAGCCGTTAGGCTTTAAGCATTCATTTCCACTCATTTAATTTAACTTAATTTAATTTAATTTTGGGGTACATTTATGTTTGTTTCCATACATAGGGTTTTACTTTTATAGAGCCTTATAGTGTTATTAGAGACTGTTATATGATGTTTGGTTTTTCCTATTGCACGTATTCCTATTGCACATGCATATTGCTTCTCATTGTCATGAATGTCTAGCACAGAAATGCCACAAATAAATGTATTATTGCAAGTTAGACAGTGTGCAGGAGTTTATTTAGCAACTTTTAATAAATTCGTCCTTCTCCTGCGGACTTGTCTCATGAGAATAGATGTGCAAATTGTTCTTCTGTTCTGAGGTCGTGGACCTTGCAGTGTTGTTGAGCTAGTTTTTGTATTTGTAAATGGAAGGCAATCTCATTTGAAGGTCAGAACAGGTCTTGACCACACTGTGGTGTTTAAAGAGAGCAAGATGGCTGAACTGCTTTGTGAAGACACAATGGAGAAGGGCAGACCCCAAGACTGTCCAGCTCCTCAGTGCCCTACCCTCCCTGACCCTCTGACACTTGCACATGACTTTGGCCCTGGACCTCTACCTCATTCATCGCCTTATCTATGTTATTGAATTACCATGCAGCTAAGACTACCCATCAATAAAGTCATTTTATTATATTATTATAGATATTATGTTAGGAACATAATGTGTACCCTATTTTTGCCCTGTATTCTATACAATGCAAAACTGCAAATCAGCAATGCTATACTGCATGCTATGTGTATTTTTTTTATTGTACTTCTCTATGTGCCTCTGAAATAAAGTGATTTGAATTAAAATGAATTAAATTTGTGGATCTGTGGTGCTGGACATTTGGATTTTTTCTTACTGTTGCTCAAAAAAAAGGTGCAAATGCACAAGCTACTTAGAGCTGCAAATGTCAAGTGAACTGCAAATGGTGGCGGAGAGCCCCAGGAGAACAAAACTAATATCTGTTGTCCCTAATCGCATGCTCTACGTCATTTTTGGTTAGTTCAAAACAGTAGCAGTATAGTGGTAAGTATATAGTACAGTATGTTGTGAATTGGGGGCAGGGGGAGGCAGGTCCAAATAGATGCCAAAAACAAGAAAGTATTTCATTTAAGTTTAATTAGCAGTGAGTTCCCAAAGTCACAGTTTCAATGACAGTTTGAGCTGTTGGCAAATGTATTGGATCATTCCCTATTGGTGTTTTTTTTGTGTGTGTGAAATGGCAGTGTCATTTAAAAGTTGCATTTTTAATTAATGTACATTAGAGTACATATTGCAATATGTCCAATTACTACAAAGCAGGAATGTGAATAGAATGTTTGCACACTTCAAAAAGCAAACATTATGCCACATATATAGTATACAGTTGTGGTATGACAGAGACACAAAGAGGGTTTTATTAATATGTGTAGGACTGTAATCTCTCACCACTGTATGTTGAGGGAAAGTGGGTCCACCAGTACAAACAAATTACAACACTTTCTCACAAATTCCTCCCTGAAAGCACTGACAATCAGGCTGGAGACAGTTTCCATGCCTGGATTTTCTTTTTTCAGTGTGAGAAAGCTCTTTTTTTTTTTTTTTTTTTTTTTCCACAGAGTGTTGACTTCAGTAATTCCTCAAATTTATGTGACGCCTCCCTCAGTGGAAAACACCTTTTGTTTTGGTTACATACGATTTTGTGTGCTGTAAATTTCCCCAATCTCTCTCCCTCTCTCTCTCTCTCTCTCTGTCTCCCTCTCTCTCTCTCTCTCTCTCTCTCTCTCTCTCTCTCTCTCTCTCTCTCTCTCTCTCTCTCTCCCTCCCTCTCTCTCCCTCTCTCTCTCTCCCTGCCTCATGTGATTGGTCAGTTTTCTGTCATTGAGCACTCTGGAGCTATAAGACCACTGCTGGGGGTGGAGACACCCACAGCCTGCTGTCTAACCACGGAAGAACACTGATAAAAAGTCTGGCCCACAATCACATTGTTGCCTCTCGTCATTTACAGCAACAGTACTGACTTTGGATCTTTAACAGTGCAGCATGTGTAAAGGACTTGCAACACTCCCTGCAACATGCTTGAAAAGGTAAGACAAATTAAAGTTTTAACAGGTGGATAAAAGTGTTATTATATTCCTGCTAAAATAACAGCAATAAAATGCAGCTTTGAAATATGTGTGTACCGATTTCTATGAGCTTCATACTTTTTATTTTAGGTAAAACAATTGCTATTTCATCCCTAAACCTAAAAAAAAAGTTAAATATAGAAAAAGAGGAACTGGTTGCTAACCGCTTTTTTACAAAGAGCAGATCTTCATACAAGCACGTCAGATAGTGTTACTGCAAACGAACAGATCTTCCAAGATGCATTTCATTCACTGTCCTCATCTGCCTCTCCACAGCGCCAAAGACATCAAGCACAAAATAAGCTTCTTACTCCAGAAGCCTGAAGCCCATGCAGCAGATCAGAAGCAGATGAAAGAGAAGACTGCTGCTGCTGCAAAGAGGTCAGAAGAGCTTATCTCCACCAGTTCAATTTGTGGATGTTTTAAGATATTTGTTTGTGTTTATTTGTCTGTTCCCACATGAAACTGCTCTTTCTGGAAGAAATTCACAAGGATAATGCTCAGATAAATGAACTCTCCATTCATGTTTCCTTGAGAGAAGTTCTGTACATGTTGCATTATAAGGAATTCACTCATTGTATTTCCATGTGGATAAGCACTCCACAGGGAAATAGCATATGGTTTCCCCCAGTTATTAAAAGGATAAATGCTGCTTTATGATACATTTTATTCAGTAATTATCTTTAATCGTAGACTTTTGAGTTTTAGTTTTATTATTAAGTCCAATACTCATTTTGTTTTTTCTTGGCCATTGGCCTGGACACGAGATACATAGTGACGAGAATGATGAGGGTGATGAGAAAAGAGAAGCATGGGCTGTTGTGGAAAGGGAGCTTGCACTGACGCATTTAGTTGATAAGCCATTTTATTTAATGGGAAATAGATAATTTCCTGCCTGATTTTTGAATCTTGTGGTTCAGTGGAACTTGCTTTGTTTTGTTTTGAAATCAGCCTGTGTCTCCCTTCATGTGTGTAATTGTATTGCAGGTGTTGGTTAATGTTACCATGGAGAACAATTCTAAAGCCTAACATATTACTTGGGCATATGATTACATATTCTGGTAAACATTTTGAAACATGTTGTTTTGAGCATATTCTGGCCTTAATGACCGGCTCTCAGGCTGTGTTACCTCAAGAAGCCTCTTAATGTTCATGAGCAGGATAGCAATGATGGCACTTTCCCTGACCTTCCCTTTTCAGTAGCATGTAACCCATTCAGAGACACTTATAGATAATCAATATTCAGTTTTCCTGCTATAATTGTTCAGCAGCAGTATCATTCATTCCATTCACAACACAAAGACGTGCTGTAAAGCCTCTGTGACAATTATTTAAGTGATAAATAGGAATATAGATTACAGTTTTCTAATTGCGTATAGCTGTTATTTATTTTTGTTAATGTCATTGTTTCTGAGGTGATGAAATCTTTAGGGAGGCATTATTGTACTGTAGATTTTGTTGTGCAAATGCCAGATGACGTATGCTGGTATGATTGGATTTGCTGCCATTATTGATCAGTGAATTGGTGCAGCTGGGGTCTGGAATGGCTGTACTGATTTAGAGCAAAAGGAAAACCTCCAAAAAAAGGTGTCTTCTTATGATGGAAATATGTCTTCAGACAATATTTCAAATAGTTTCTTTTGGTATGTGTTTGGGTGGGATAACAGGAAGCCAGCAGGTCGGTTTCTTTACCTGTTCAATAGAGGAAGTGCTGCACAAACAGTTACCTCATTAAACCTTATGTACACAGAATGGAAGTGGTTTTATGCAGAATTCCTAATGAGAATACAAGCTGATTGGTTTTATTGATCGAGTTTTATCATTTCTATCCCTAATACATCCTGAAGACAAATTCTGTGAAGTGGAACTTAGCAAAGAGTTACACAGACATACGAGCATATTTCAGCTTTTCTTTGAAATTGGGAAGCCCATGCAGCCTTGTTAACGAACATGTCTGTATCTGTGTTTTAGGGTGCTTACTGTAGCTGAGGTGGAGAAATGGAAGGAGTCTTTCAGCCATATGATGAGCAGTGAAAGTAAGTGTTGCATTATTGTTTCACACCTACAGAAGTTCAACCTGTGCTTGAACGAGGCTAATGAGCTTGTGTTCAAATCCAAAGCAAACCCAAATTAGTTTGTCGGATACTAATAATACTGACATTAACAGTCAGGCGGATGCTTGAGTCATTAGTTCTTCAGCTGAATCTCTCTTGGGTTTACAAAAAAAACCCCCTCAAAATTAAAGATGTCCGTTCTCATGTGACATGATGGTGCTGTAATCATGGGAATATAATCAGACAAGGCCCTGACCTCAACATTCCTCGCTACTGGATGCCAGTAAGGTTTTGGCGATCTGACAAGTGATGCTTAATCTCCTTCTTCACTCTTTGTCAGGGATAAAATTAAAAATAAAATAATAGTAGAACAGAAGATGTGTTAAGAAGCGCTAATTAAGTAGCATCACCCTGCTCCTATCCTCTGACACATTAATTCTGTGTGCATGATGTTAAAGGAACATTAAGGAGGCTGCAGGAAAGAAACATACAAATTGTGCTCACATACACACACACACACACACACAGGCACTCTCTGACACATTCTCATGCTCTGGTCTTCTGCTACGTGTCTCAAGGCACTACTCAATGGCCCCTCAGGGCACGCTGACCAGTGTTGAGTTTATATGTGTCTGTGTGTGCATAAGCCCTCTGAGAATTACACTGTGCATGGACACAAAATGGGAGCAATGGCCTTGAGGGAACCAGCTGAGTTCTGACCTGCTCCGTTCCATGACCTCATCCACAGACTTCCACTCCATCGTCATGTCTTCCTTCATCTGTCAGTCCTTATTGGTCTGATCTTCTCTTGTTTATCTTATGCTGGTCTCAGTGGTCTCCTCATCTGTTCACTAAGTCATGTAGGGTTTTGGAGCAGCAGTAGTTAATCAGTTTGGTAAAAATATGACTTCTACAAAGGCTCAGGTCTGTGTTTACTGCAGTCTTTAATTAATTGGTTTGGTTATTGGAAAACGCTTGTCTTCCAAAAAGACAGGATGAAATTATTGCTGTGATAATGTAAGAACTCCGTATAGTTGCACTGCTTTTTAGTCTTCCTGGCATTGCTTGTTGAGTCCTTAATTTCTCCTCTCAAGATGAGCAAATTTGAATCGACTTTTTCATCTTTCACTCTCTTTTAACAACTTATATTACCAGAAACTGAAATGTTTTAGCTCCATTTGCATGGGGAGGACAGCTGCCTATTTAACTTTGGTGCTTTAAAGCAATCCAGCTGAAGTCCAGATCAATCTAGCCCCCCCAGGGACACATCCTGAAAGGCAGCTTAATGCACCATTTTTTTCATGTTGTCTTGCTGTCATTATGTTAATGTCTCAAAATGAATGTGATAATGATTCAGTTGCTGTTTTCTGGCACCTGATGAACAACTGGGAGTGTGTTTAAAACCATATATAGCTTTCAGCTTGGGCCAGGGTAGTTACAAGCATTTTGGCAGGCACTGGTACCTAAAAACGGAGCGGTGTAACTGATTATGCTGCATCATTCATAAAAACGTCTGGCAACCAAGTATGCCAGATTGAGGTCATTTTACCTGGGACATGTGACAAGGCTATATTTTCCTATTCTTTTAAAAAGGAGCGGCAATGTATCATTTATTACTCTACAGCATGAATCAGCATTGCCAATGTGTGTCATCTCAAACCTCTACACCTGCACTCATGGTTCTGTAATTGTATTAATGAAATGTATATTTCTTTCTGTCTGTGTTAGCGGGTCGTATGGTCTTCACCAGCTTCCTGAGGTCAGAGTTTAGCGAAGAGAACATGGACTTCTGGCTCGCCTGTGAAGACTACAAGAAGACTGTACCTTCCAAGTTGGCGACCAAAGCCAAGCAGATCTACCAGCAATATGTTGAGGCAGATGCTCCTAAGGAGGTAATGCCTTTTATCGGAAACTTAACATTAGTGATAGAAAATTCCAAACCATCAGTGAGCTCGATCAGTATGCGGAAACTGTCGCAATAATGTGACATTAACTTAAGCTCTTTAATACAGCATTTCTTTAAAAAATATTACAAAGTGGACAAAACAAGGCAGAAATGATTCTAAAAAAAAAAGGAGAAAAAAAGGGAAAAAGGAAAAATGTTGACATTGCTTCAAAGCCTGAAACACACCTCAAGGGCATAACTGTAAATCTTATTAATGCAACTGCACACTCCTCCAATGAAGTGAATACTTGAAGCTGATTGTGACTGCAAAACTATGAATAATGCATACGCACAACACTTATATCCTGACAATGAGTCACCTTCCTGATTACAGGCTAAAACGCTATGGTTTGATGATTATCCCCATGATCCCCAGAATTAGAATCACTTTTATTGGCCAGGTACGTGTACACATACGAGGAATTTGAGAACTAGCATGAATAAACAGGACAACAACAAAAGAGACATGAACTACTATTAAGCTGGATGCTTTGCATGGATGAAGGCAGTTTGGCACATTACAGTCCATTGGGAAATAAAGTAAACTGAGTAAATAGTTGATTAGGTTTAGATTTTGTATTTTGTTCCACTTTTTTCCATGTGTGTCAAATTTCAAATCGATTTTCATTTAGTATCGTAACCTTTTTCATTCTTTGTAATTTAAGGTAAACTTAGACGCATCGACCAGAGAAGTAACGAGGCAGAACATGGAGAACGCCTGCCCATCTTGTTTCGACGAGGCTCAGAAGATGATCTACACCTTGATGGAGAAAGACTCGTACAGGCGCTTCCTCAACTCCAAGCTGATCCAGGAAATGTGTCAGACACAGACCACCGCAGCTCAGGAGAAGAAGGAGAAGAAAAACTGTGACTGTGCCGGGAACAGGCAGGCGTTAACTGGTGGCGCTTAAACAACAAGCAAACAGGACAGAGTAGAAGAAGGTGACAAAGACTGAAAATGTATGATAGGTAGACACCGGTAAAGATCGGCTTGTTTTTGTGACCAGTGTTTATAGAATAGACAAGCCAGTGGTTTAAAAGGTGACTTAAAGGTTAAAGTGACATGTGGTCAAGACTTTATTTCTTTTTTTTTACTTGCTGTTAATTCCTGGACGTATTTAGTCATTTAAGTGTTTTAAGTGGTTACTCTGTGTCTACTTGTGCATATATCAGATACATATTTGAATATTTTAAAACTATCTAAAGCTACCTCCACTCAACAGACACACCTTCAAAACAGCCCTGGTGCGAGTGGAGCAGTGGAACAGCGTGAAGGAGAAGTTGTATTTGAGTTATAACAATATAAATGTGTTACATCTTTAAAGTCATGTATCAAGTTCTTTATAAGAATGACCCAATTTAACTGTAACTGAACACCAGACATTACAAAAAAATTTGTCGAGTGACATTCAGTGATAAGTGGTATAAAAGTAAAGACCTATCTCTTGGAACTATATTATTCTATATTATTACTGTCACCACTTTAGTAATTTGTTGGTCTACAACCTGCTGTATATCTCAAGGCTTAACCACAGTAACAACCGGCTGTGCTGTATAGATAAGATCTCTGCACTGTGCAAATGTTAGCTTTGTCTACTTCTTATGGGAATTTCAAGTATGCTTTGACATAGTATTGATTTTCTGCTGCATGTCGCCACACAGTAGGAATAAAAGGTTAAATTGTGACCGGATTTTGAAGTATTCCCCTGTAAGTCAAGCAGTAAGTGTTCTGTTCTGATGTTTATTACTGTCATTTGTGCAGGGTTCTTAATAGTGTGTTCACTTTAATTCATTAACTGTTAATATGTTGGTGACCTTGCGTACTAAAACATTTAACAAAGTGTATACTGTGATGGATAGAAAACAAGACGCTGTATGTAGATATTTATTTAATTATGTCATTGTTCTATTTATATCTGTGACGATTCACAAATAAAATGACGTGTTGGATAATCAGAACTTTGTGTGTGGTTAGTCTTGTTTCAGCTGGATTTCAAGAGTTTGACAGCCATTCTAGCAGCTCAATGAGTTTGCACTTGATAATGTCACATTAGGTTACCTTATTGTAACAGTGTTGGGGAAGCATTAAACTAAATTGAGTTTAATGCTTAACGTTATCACTAGGTAACTATCACTACCCCCCTGTGCTATGCTAACCAAGTAAATAGACTGCATTTCTATATAGCAATTTTAGAGCTGTGAGTAACTTGGGTTCAGTTTCTGCTAAAGGACACCTTGCCATGCCTACAGGAAAGCCCAATTAATGGACAACATGCTCTACCTTCTGAGACCTGGAGTACAGTTGGAAATGTCATTAGTTTTAGTTGTTATTTTGTAATGAAGCAAAATATTGACCTGGTGATAGCACTAGAAGAAATGCCAGTGAGATCACCACACTCATTACAATATATCTTTAGAGGACCATTACTATCGGTACCAAATGTCATGGCAATCCTTCTAATAACTGTTGCGACATCTCTCTTGGAAACAAAAATGTCAAACTCATGGTGCCGCAAGAATAAATAAAAAGGATCACCAGTGTCACTAGGATTCATCCTCTTGTGACCTTCAATATCTGTTTCATGGCAATCTTACCAATAGTCATTGAGATATTTCAGTCTGGACCATCCCTAAAGCCGTGTCCCTAGTGTGGCTAAAAAAGGTACACATACCCAAGTACAGGTTTGTACACATCATCAGGGACGGTCATCGCCCACCGTGAAGTGTTTTTGAAGTGAACCAGCAACCTCTTCTAATTTTTAGATTTTACAATCTTGACGTCAAACTTCTAATGATCATAAGATAATTATCTCATAATAAAACTTGTTATGATGATGAAAACGAAGAGAAGAGTAACAGAGTAAAAAAACTTTTTCATGGAGGGACTCAGACTGTCCCTTTGTAATCACAGAGTAATCATGTGTAATCAGCAGACATAAGGCGGTCTCCCATCATCTCCGGCAGTGATTGTGTAATGTCTGCAGATCATCAGAATCTAACATTATTATCTAATAATCACCAGAAGACAGTTTGGGCAAAAGAAAGAAAGCAAGACCCAATGAAAATCCTTTCTATGGCTGTAGCTCTTTTGTTGAGCAGAACTTCTGTTTTAATTGAATTGACATCTGAGTAAAAAAAGAACAGAAAGCACATGTAGCAGCACATTAGCTGAGTGGTTGGTTGACCTTGGCAAGTTCCCACTTAAATTGGTTTGCAGTGTTTTAAACATATTTTCATCTTCAGATCCGTCCCTCAAAATCAGTGTCAGACATCCCAGCATGCAAAGCTGACTTTATATCTTGGCAGAGCATGTTAAATACCTTACAAGTTTTTTTGTGATATGATATTATAGTGTATAAGGTTGAGTCCAAAACTGTTTTGACATTATGACACCGCATTTAAGTATTTTAAGACATTTAAATCTTAGTTTTGAACTTCCAAAACCAATTTTTGAAGTCCATGTTAACCTCCAGTCTTTCAAAGCACATTTCTATTTTCATCAACAGTGATTGTGATTTGTTCTCCTCTGTGTCTAAGATTGGTTTACCTGGTAGATGTATTTGTTTTGATTTACCTCCATGACGTTAGGGCTGTTTACTGCAGCTGTATTCACACTCGCAGCCTAACTCCATGCCTATTCAAGTCCAATGCATTTGATACCACGACGCACTATACAATAAATAAACGTGCTAAAATCTAATCTTCTGCGCATCTAACTTTAACAGACAACATGCCTAAATATTTCCTTACTGTTAATTCCGTCTGCCTGCTTTTCTGCTTAGTAAAAGGCACAGAAATAGAATGAAAGACGCCTAGATAGTTTTTTTTCTTTTTTAGAGGAAAAATCAGTAATAGTGCTTGGGTTAATAATTCACCAGCACCCTTATACAGGCGCTTCAAAGTGGATTAGTACTGCAGGAGTTTTTCTATGCAGGCCTAAAATGAGGTTAGTCTTTGAAAACATCTTGAGCATGCTGAGCTGATGCTGCTGTTTAGCCTGTGTTGCTGGTTAATTTATGCTTTAAGAAGATGATGGTGGCGGTCATTTTTAGCAAAATACCTCCTGAGGTAGAGTTAAAAGTAATACAATTAATTAACATACACACCTTCTCATTCCTGTCTGATATACTGCTGTTAGTGTGTCAGCCTCAGTATGGTTGGATTCTGCAGCTAAAACACAGCAGTCTACAAGAAAGTGATAAATCCACTGGGGCCAGTGTGCTTGTGTGAATTCTTATCTGTCATCTAAAATGAATGAGAGTGTGGGAGTAGTTAGGAGGACTCTGTGAGAGGGGCATCAGCTAGAATTTGGAGAAAAACATTCACAATTTGGACTTGGAGTGATATTTAATGCCAATACTCAACAATGAGATGGACTTTTTAATCCAATATTTTATTCTGATCAGGATGGTGAATCCTTTGAGACAGCATAAAGAAAATAAAACAGAAGGTGACACAGATTCTCAATTAAAAACTTGAATAATGAAATGTTAGTGTGGCAGTTTATTCAGGCAGGTTTGTGTGTTGCCAGACCCTTAAAATGTTCATCAGCTCTTCATCTTTGTCATACCAGCACCAGATACTCTGACAAAAAAATAAAAATAAAAAGCAAGCCTCTCTTTCAAGAACGATCCATTTCATATATTTTGTTCTGTTCAGAATCTGAATACTTAATGTGTGAAGAAATAGGAACACTTTTGATTTTAGCTTAAAAAAAAACAAGTTCAACATAATTGGTTGAGCATGAAAGTAGCAGTTTAACAAAAAAATGTCACTCAAGATGCATTTCCTAGCATGAAATGAGGCTACAGTAAAAACTAGTAAATCTCCCTTGAGCAAAGTTTTGTACAGTTAAGGATCGTTTGATTTGGTGCTCTTATAGGCAACAAAAGATACAGACGGGTGACAAATTAAAGGAAAAACCTCAATGAAAGAGTGGAGAAACGTAACAAATGCATATGATTTCATACAGGACACGAAGGGTCATTGAATGGTTTGATGAGAATGAAAATGATGTGAATCAATAAAACACTTATAGGATAATGGAGAGGGTTCCAGAGACTAGGAGGTTTGTGTTGGGTTTTCCTTTAAATTTTGACCCATCTGTTGGTTAATCTATCAATTATTATCATTTACTGATGGGCTGTGGCTACACAACATCGATGCATTACCACCTTGTAAAGTTGGTGTTACAGGATGATGTTGGTGTTGCAGGACTGTCTCACTACAGCCCAGGGTTTGTGTCCAGACTCCTGCAACAAAAGCACTTTGGTTACACTTCCTGATTTTTGGGTTAAATACTAACTTCTGAATAATGCTGTAGTCACTCCGAGTAGATAGTACTGTGACATTTTTTATTTTGGCGTCAAACAAGTGAAATAGTTTGTCAGTGAACACTTTACTGATATGTTCAGTATCAACATTTTTGTGTCTTGCTAGGTATGTTAATAACATTTATTTTCACCATTATGTTAATAGAAAACGGAATTTGGTGTGCACTATGTTTCCCTCAAAGCTTTTGTCTTTTAGCTTGAAACAGCTGTCAGTGGAGTGATGTGACAGAACCAAAACAGTAAAGGTGTTTGCCATAATACAAAGACAATGAGCTGAAAGACTCATTTTCTTTGTAGAGCTATGAGGAACTGCAGAGTTGGGAGATAATTGTCTGTGGGTTTGTCACCTGCTGGACAGTCATGCCCTGTAGGGATACACTAATACCACCTCTGAACTGAGACCTTTAAACAGAGCTCTAACCAGAAGTTACAGAAACATACTGCAGTGCAATGATCGATACATTTCCTACTTTTCTTGGAAAAGTTAAGTGAAACAACAATGTTTTTCTTTTATTAAATTAACTTAAGTGAAGCTCTTTGTTTCGGCTTGCAGGGTGCCAACACTTCACGAAGGATTCAGCTTGTTTTGAGTACTAAACTCCACTATAGTTGAATGACAATGAAAGCAAATTCTACACAATGAAGTGATCATGTTTCAAGCCAACGTGAACCGAGGGCAGAAAAGCCCTAGTCACAGGCTCTTTATCAGAATCAGCTTTATTGGCCAAGTATGTGTACACATACAAGGAATTTTACTTGTTTTTTAAGTTGCTCTCAATGTACGTACACAGAACAGTTTACAAAGCTGAACAAAGAAAAAAAATAAAAATATAACTAATAAGTACATACATGTGAGTGAGAAATAGGTATACACACACACACACACACACACACACACACACACATATATATAAAAAGAAACATTCAGCTGTTCTGTAGACTGTAAACAATTACAAATAGTGCAAAGGAATAAATATTTAATTTATGTTTACTCAAATTGCTTGGTGAGTAAATGATTTGTATTTTTGCTCCACTTTTATCTGTGGGAGAAATCCATCATAACTTAACTTGGACATCATATATTCGAAGTACTTTATATTGAGACTAGGCCTCATGATGACTGTGAGAAATGTACAGACAGTCATAATTATTGTAATCATTATCGCAAACAAAGCCACAAGCACCCACTTCAACAGATTTTCTTACAGATCTAAAAAAAAGCCTTGTCAATCCAGCCCACATATTTCTGTCAAACAAATGCACACTGATGAACATTATGTGTGAACTTGGTTTTACTTGAAAAGTATCTGAATAAGTGACAGAGGTACAGTTAAATCTGTGTTTTAAGTAAATCAAAGCTGAATATAAAATTTAAAAAAAGAGTAAAGTCAGAATTTTCCCTTTGTCTTTGCAGATAATTTAAAATGGACAAATATGGAAGATATGACAACACAGGTATGTAAGTGTGACCAAACCTCTACAAAGTTGGTGTTGAAATCATACCTTAAAGCTGCAGTAGGTAACTTGAACATACACAATGCAAAACCTTCCTCGTCTCTCTCTGCCGCACAAGGGATGGAAACAGTGCTCATGGTCACTTGTGTAATGCAAAATTGAGGCTACTTT